GGCTCCGGTGAGCCGCTGGAATGGCAGGGCACCTTTCTCCGTTCAGTCTACATGGCCTCTCTGTCATTTCCCGACGTGATCTCCAGCAGGCAGCCAGACTTCTGACCTGGCAGTTCAGGACTCTTCTCGAAAAACACAAAAGCAAAACTTGTCAATTACCGTTGACCCTTGAATAACACAAGGCTTGGAGTGCCAGCCCCCGACACAGTCAAAAATCTGTATATAACTTTGACTCCCCAAAAGCTTAACTACAGTATTCTTAACGCTTAGATCTAGAACCTGCCCAATGTCACTTTCACTGTATTCCATTGGTTAAAATGAAGCAAAACAAAACAAAAAAGGAGGGAAATGTTCATTTACTTGCCTCCCTGCCAGACATTTGTTATATTTTAAAACCACATTAAATTATCTTTAAAAGCCAAGTATGAACCAAAGCAAAATAGATTAAAGCTGTGCTATAGATTCTTGTATAAGTTATCTCTTCTCTCTATCTGATCAATAGGTAACTTTGTGGCTGGTTGTTTCTTGATGCTTTAAAAAATCTGCTTGCTCTTCTCATTATAGCCTTGTCATATGTGAGCAGCAAACAGCCTATCTTAATTTATGAAGGTGTTCTTGATTATATTTTTATTAATTCTCTAGGTTGAAGTAACAAATGGATTTTTATCACAATGTTCTTCCGCTCTCATGAAGTTTCAGCACCTTTATTGAATTACTAGAGGCCCAGTGCACAAAAATTTGTGCACCCGGGGGAAGGGGGGGTCCCTCAGCCCGGCCTGTGCCCTCTTGCAGTCTGGGACCCCTCGGGAGAAAAGGACCTGCTGGCTTAGGCCTGCTCCCGGGTGGCAGAGGGCAGGCCCAATCCCTAGGTGCAGCCCCTGGTCGGGCTCAGAGCAGGGCCGATTGGGGAGTTGGGGTGCCGGCCTCTGTCATGCACAGAGCAGGGCCGATCAGGAGGTTGCGATGCCACCCTCAGTCACATTCAGGGTAGGGCCGATTGGGGGGTTGGGGCACCGCCCCCTGTCACACTCAAGGCAGGGTCGATAGGGAGGTTGCGGCGCCACCCCCTCTCACGCACAGAGCAGGGCCAATCAGGGGGTTGGGGCTCCGTACCCTGTCATGCACAGAGCAGGGCCAATCAGGGGGTTGGGGCTCTGTACCCTGTCACGCACAGAGTAGGGCCAATAGGGGAGTTGGGGTGCCACCATCTATCACCCACAGAGCAGAGCCGATCAGGGGGTTGGGGCGCCGCCACTCTCACATTCAGGGCAGGGCCGATGGGGAGGTTATGGCTCTACCCCGTCACACACAGAGCAGGGCCTGTGGGGGGCGGGGGTTGGGCCACCGCACCCCGTCACACACAGAGCCACAGGGCGATCAGGGGTTTGGGGAGCTCCCCCCTATCAGGCACAGAGCAGGGCTGATCAGGGGGTTGGGGCGCCTTCCCCTGTCACGAACAGAGCAGGGCAGATAGGGAGGTTGTGGCCCCGCCCCCTGTCACACACAGAGCTGCAGGGCGATCAGGGGGTTTGGGCGCTGCCCCCTGTCACGCTGATCCTGGTGCCGGGAGGCATATTACCCTTTTACTATATAGAATAGAGGCCTGGTGCATGGGTTGGGGCTGGCTGGTTTGCCCTGAAGGGTGTCCTGGATCAGGGTGGGGGTCCCCACTGGGGTACCTGGCCAGCCTGGGTGAGGGGATGATGGCTGTTTGCAGCTGGTCACACAACCTTCAGGGTGGGGGTCCCCAATGGGGTGCCTGGCCAGTCTGGGTGAGGGGCTGAGGGCTGTTTTCAGGCTGGCGGGTGACTGAAGCTCCCAACTGCTCCTTTTTTTCTTTATTCTGGGCCAGCTTTAGCTCTGGCTCCAGCTCTGAGGCCTCTGCTGCTGAAAGCAGATATCTGGTTTGTTTGGGTTCTATAATTGGAACACTGTATCAACTCCAGCTCTGAGATCCCGGCGGGCTGAAAGCAGGTTTCTGGGGTTTTGTTTAGCTTCTATATTTGTAACAATGTTTCTAAAACTGTGAGCTCAGAGGCCTGCAGCGGCAGGCGGGGAACGTTGGAGTCCTCCATCACTGAAGCAAGCAAGGCTCATGTTAGCTTCAAGCTGCCTGGCTGCCGGTCGCCATCTTGGCTGGCGGTTAATTTGCATATCGCCCTGATTAGCCAATGGGAAGGGTAGCGGACGTACGCTAATTACCATGTTTCTTTTTATTAGATAGGATAATTTAAATACTACAAAATTCATACATCTAAAGTATACAATTCAATGGTTATTCATATGTTTAAAGAGTTGTATAACCATCACTACCAATCAATTTTAGAATTTTTTCATCACCCCAAAAAGAAACTACTACCTGTTTCAGTCACTCCCCATTCTACCACCACCACCTCCAGTCCCAGGCATCCCTAATCTACCTTCTTGACTCTATTGATTTATGTATTCTGGACAGCTCTTTTATAAATGGAATCAAACAATATGAGGTCCTTTGTGACTAGCTTCTTTCAATGAGTGTTTTTATGGTTATCCATGGTGTGTCAGCACTTCATTCCTTTCTATTGCTGAATAATATTCCATTGCGTGAGTATACCACATTTTCATCAATTATATCAATCAGCAGCTCAATGGACTCTTCAATTAATCCAATCTTTGACTATTACAAATACTACTGCTATACATATTTATGTACACATTTTTGTATGGACATGTGTTTTCATTTCTTGGGTTTATATCTGAGTCCATGAATATTTTATAATATATTGATTTTATATACTTAATTTATATGATCAATTAGTTATACTTATATATTTAATCAATTTTGTTTGTTTTGTGATATACCTGGATCCATTAATTTTTTAATGAGAAAGCTAACAGTTATTTTCCAGTTATTAAATTTCATCTTTCTAATATGTATGGAACAGAAAACAATAGTTAATTTGGGTGAAGAAGATAAGAGAAGTTGATGGGAAATTTACTCAAAGTATTAAAGGAACTTGTCCTAGCAGGTTTGGCTCAGTGGATAGAGTGTCAGCCTATGGGCTGAAGAGTCTCAGGTTCAATTCCGGTCAAGGGCATGTACCTCAGTTGCAAGCTCGACACCCAGCCCCTGTCAGGGTGGTACGGGAGGCAACCAATTGATGTGTCTCTCTCACATCGGTGTTTCATTCCCTCTGTCTTTCCCCATCCCTTCCACTTTCTCCAAAAAAATCAATGGAAAAAATGTCCTCGGTGAGGGTAAGGACTAACAACAACAAGAAAAAGTATAAAAGAATTTAAGAGCGTTGACATTGAAGTGTAACTGCATAGTTTAAAATCCTGATTATACCACTTAAAAGATGTGTGGCCTTAGGCAAGTTATTTGACCTCTCTGAGCTTCAGTTTACTTATCTGCAAAATGGAGGAAAATATAATTCTACCTACCTCATAAGATTTTTGTGAGGATTAAACCTCTTGCTGGGCAAATTGTAGATAAGTATTAATTGTTAGTAATTATTATTAATGATTGATATACTGCTGCATTTTAATATTTTTACTAGAGGCCAGTGCACGACATTCGTGCACTGGAGGGTCCCTTAGCCTGGCCTGCACCCTCTCGCAGTCTGGGACCCCTTGGGGGATGTCCGCCAAGAAGTCCTTAGTGCTGCTGCCACCACTGCTGTGCTCGCCAGCCATGAGCCCGGCTTCTGGCTGAGCGGCGCTCCCCTTGTGGGAGTGCACTGACCACCAGGGGGCAGCTCCTGCATTGAGCATCTGCCCCTGGTGGTCAGTGCATGTCATAGTGACCGGTCATTCTGCTGTTCGGTCTATTTGCATATTAGTCTTTTATTATATAGGATAATGAACATACATTGTTTTTGAAATTTTAAAAACAATTTAAAATGTGTGAAGTCAACCTTAATTTTGTGTGTTTACTACTTTAAATGTATTCTTACATTATAAATTCATGCTTTAAGTTGGAAAATAGAGATTTGACCCTGCTTCCATGGTGTCTGTGTTTTAGATTAACTGAGGAAATGGAGACTCCTGACTTAGGTCTCAATTGTGCTATAGTTATTCTTTTCTATTTTATAAATCAGGAGAGAATTTCCTGGGCAACAAAATTCACGAAACCGTGGCGCCACTTATACCAAAATTGATCCTGCCCGAGCTGGTTTGGCTCAGTGGATAGAGCAACTGCCTGTAGACTGAAGGGTCCCGGGTTCAATTCTGGTCAAGGGCACATGCCTGAGTTGCGGGCTCAATTCTCTCTCATTATTGATGTTTCTATTTTTCTCTCCCTCTCCCTTCCTCTCTGAAATCAATAAAAAAAAAATTAAAAATTGATCCTAAAACAAATACTAACAATATTAGATTTTTTTAGTCTACACAGAGTTACTTTAGTACTCCATTGATCATTTTGGATCTTTTTTAAAAAATATATTTTATTGATTTTTACAGAGGATGGGAGAGAGATAGAGAGTTAGAAATATTGATGAGAGAGAAACATCGATCAGCTGCCTCCTGCACACCCCCGATTGGGGATGTGCCTGCAACCAAGGTACATGCCCTTGACTGGAATCGAACCCGGGACACTTCAGTCCGCAGGCCGACGCTCTATCCACTGAGCCAAACTGGGCAGGGTGATCATTTGGATCTTTGAAGCAAAACAATTCTAGCTAAAATTTTTGACCCTTAGGGCTTTTTGTTTTAGTGCAAAATAACTTTTTTAATAATCTAGCATCTTGCCAAAGATTCTGTTTCATCTCCCTACAGCTGATTTGAACATTCCATTTTAATTCATTGCCTGTAGAATTAGTAATTACGTGGTTTCTCTTGTGGCTCCAATCTTAAATAATGATATCCCTCCAAGAAGGCTTATTCTATTTATAGGGCTTACAGAGAAATTAGATTTTTAATACAAAGCAGCAGCAATGCTAGAAATGATTGTTAAAATGTACTCTAGAAGCCATTTCCGGCCTGTTTTCTACTGCTCTATTCATGTTTCTGGTCAGAACAGGAGTACTGAGGGGTTTGTGAGGTCCTCACCCTGGCTCCTCGGACCCATTGGGATTCAACGAGTGGCCCCTCACTGGGATCTGCAAGTGGGATACCAGAGCCATTTCCCAGACCTCAGGAGACCTGTGGCCTTTTAACCAACCAACTTGTAAGTACCTACAAGGCAACAACTACTGTACTCAAGGCTATTTTTACGTATGTGTGTGTAACAGCTTTGTTGATATACTATACAATTCACCCATTTAAAGCGTTCAGTATATTCAATGGTTTTCAGCATATTTAGAGTTGTGCGGCCATCACCACAATCAATGTTAGCACATTCTATCACCCCAAGTAGACACCTCATACTCATTAACAATGCACCCCCCTTCTCCTCAGTCCTATTTCCTGTCTCCATAAACTCATCTATTCTGGAAATTTCATATAAATAGCATCATATAAATATGGCCTTTTGTGTCAGACTTCTTTTATGTAGTATGATGTTCTGAAGGTTCATCCATGTTGTAGCATGTATCAGTACCTCATTCCCTTTTCTGGCTGAATAAAATTCCATTGTACCACATTTGCTTATTCATTCATCAGTTGATGGACATTTGGCTTGTTTCTACTTCTTAGCTAATGTAAATAATGCTGTTATGAACATTAGTGTGCAAATTTTTGTGTGAGCATATGTTTTCATTTCTTTTAGGTACTACCGAGGAGTGAAATTACTGGATTACATGTTAACCCTATGTTTAACCTTCTGAGAAACTGCCAGACTGTTTTCCAAAGTGATGCCACCATTTCACATCAAGGTTATCCTAAGATCTTCCTGATCTTGGGTTAAGTGTTGTTCTTTTTGGGTATGGGCTTGAGGACAGGACTTGGTCGTTCAGGTAAGAAACTTCTGTCAAAGATTCTCACTATATTATGAACTGAATTCAGCAATCTAAGAGAGTATGTGTTTTCAACAGGTTTTAAAATAACACGATTAGCCCTGGCCGGGTGGCTCAGTTGGTTTGGAGCATTGTCCCGCACACCGAAAGTTTTCAGGTTCGATTCCTAATTGGGGCACATACCTAGATTTCAGATTCCATTCCTGGTGGGGACGCATATGCGAGGCAATTGATTGATATTTCTCTCTCTTTTTCCTTTCCTCTCTCTCTAAAATCAATAAAAAGCATATGCTCAGGGAGGATTTTTTAAAAATAATATGATTAGCATTCGTCTGTCTAGAAAGAAAAAGAATGGTCTTATTTATGAAGTTTCTAGAATTCTATAGACTCTTAGGGAACACTTGCCTCTTCTCACCCTAAGAGGCTGAGTAGGCTCTGGTGATGGGTGGAATAAGGCATAGTGGTATAAATTAAGGGACAATGTCAAAGAAAACATGTCCCTTTTATCACAAGGAAATCTTCCTGCTTACAACATCCTGGTTACATAAGTAAGAAGTTCATAGGAACTAATAAATTTTTATTGTAGTCACTCATACCTTAGCACAAATTACTTTTATATCACACTTTCCTCTTAACCCCTGGTTAGGACAGTTGTTTCTAACTAAATTGTTCTGATAATGGAGGGGATAATGAAAGAGGGATAGAAAAGGAGCAATTTTAGAACCCAAAAAGGGGAATTTAGAACATACTACCTACGTTATATTTATTAGATCATTTACTCCTAATAATTCCATGAGATAAACACTCTGTTAACCGTGATGGTTGTTTTAACTTTTTTTATTGATTAAGGTATTACATGTGTCTTTCTCCCCCCATTACCCCCCCAACCCCCAAACCCCACTCATGCCCTCACCCCGCCCCCCATGTCTGTGTCCATTGGTTAGGCTTATATGCATGCATACAAGTCCTTTGGTTGATCTCTCCCCCTTACCCCCACCCTCCCCTACCTTCCCTCTGAGGTTTGACAGTCTGATCGATGCTTCTCTGTCTCTGGATCTGTTTTTGTTAAAAAAAAGAAAAAGTCTCAAAACATTAAGTAACTTAATGAAGGTCACACAGATTTTGTGTGGAGAGCTGAGATTTCTAACTCAAATCTCTCTGAGTCCAAAGAATCAGAGCATCCTCATTCTATTCTGGAGAGAGAGCCGATCCTTGGGGGCTGGGAAGGAGGGAATGTGGAGAGGAGAGGTGTGCCAAAGCCAAACTTTGCCTTCTCTACAAATTTTTTTGTGTGTCCCTGGTTGCCACAACTACTTACTGGCAGCACCCCCTGACCCCCAGTGGTTTAGCTGTGCAGAGGGCTAATGAGTCTGTAAATGCTTGCAGGCTTAGCAGAGCTACTGTGTTTGACTAAGTTAGGACTCCAGCAAAGCTGCTGCCTGGGCTACACACACTCCAGCAAAACTTCCTTATTTGGAAAAGTCCTTTCCATCCTATTTGGGCAGAAAGAATACAATCTCACATTTAAGAAAAACAAAATGCTTTGACCTACATCAGAAGGAGCACTTGACAAAAACACAAAGAAATGCCCTCCCCAAATTAAACATATTTCAAATACTTTGCTCAAGGGGAAGGTGATATTGTCAGGGGCAGAAATAGAATACTGGGGACTAGCTACAATTGTAAGAAATATTAATCCTGCTCTGTTAACGGTGATGCTTCTGTTCTGACTGGAGAAAGCACATTCTCACCTGCCTGGGAGTTGTATGCCCTGGGACCTGGGAGCTAACATCGGAATGCAGTCCATCCTCCTTTTCCGAGAACTGCCTGTCATTATGGAAAGATTTACAAACTCCTGGCTGAAAGAATCTAGTCCCGGAGTCACCTGCCCGTTGCAACCCCCAGCCTTATTGCCTGTAACCATTATACCTTGTCCACTTCTCATTCCTGTAATTCCTACTTTCCCACATAAGCTTTGCCCTTCTACCCAATATAAGCAGCTGGCTTATGGGGAGGGGGTGGGCAGAGCAGATTTCTGTGGATGGCCTGCTGCTCTCTCAAGCTGCCAGTATTAGATAAAGGCTCATGTATGACTTAACCCTGTCTCTGCTTAATTGGCTCAAGTGGTGACAGGCAGCCTGGACCCCTTGGTTGTCGGGTTACAGTAGGGGTGGGGTGGGGCGTGGGGTGTTCTTCACCGTAGAGTTAAAAGAACATTTGCAAATCTGTTTTCCTTTAACCCAGAAGCGGTGCTAGTTAGCAATAAGCTTTGAATCTCAGTGATATAAAATTGAGCACGCTCTTTCCTGGAGTTAAGAAAATGTACATTTTGAAATCATTTGTGCTCTTGAAGCTGGGAGGGGCCTGAGTGACGGGAGGATATACTTTCTCAGGTATGGTTTAGCGTTGCTTCTCACACCCTGAGCAGAGGTCATATTGGAAAAGGCAGAGCCTGGCGGATGTGGCTCAGTTGTTGAGCATCAACCCAGGAACCAAGATTCTGGTCAGGACACTTGCACAGGTTGTGGGCTCCTTCCACAGTAGGGGGCGTGCAGGAGGCAGCGGGTGGGTGCTTCTCTCATTGGTGTTTCTATATCTCTCTCCCATTCCCTTCCTCTCTCTAAACTCAATCAACACTTTTTTTTTTTTTAAAGGCACAGCCGCATAGATGTTTGCAGGAAGGGCCAGTGGAGTTAACTCCTGTCATTCCTGGACATTCCTGAACAGAGGCTTGGTAGTCTCAATTCTGCTGTTAAATTGCTGGGTGAACTGGGCAATTCACTAAACCTCTCTGGGTGGACCTCAGTTTGCTCATCTCTAAGGAGAGGATGGACTGAATGGCCTTTCCAGAATTAACTTCCTATTTTGTGATTTCCCTGATTGTGGAAAGGGTTTGTCTAGGCCAGTGGTCGGCAAACTCATTAGTCAACAGAGCCAAATATCAACAGTACAACGACTGAAATTTCTTTTGAGAGCCAAATTTTTTAAACTTAAACTATATAGGTAGGTACATTGTTATTAACTTAATTAGGGTACTCCTAAGACTTAGGAAGAGCCACACTCAAGGGGCCAAAGAGCCGCATGTGGCTCTCGAGCCGCAGTTTGCCGACCAAGGGTCTAGGCTAAAGTGTGCAATAGAATTTGTGGGTTTCCCATGCCCCTCTACTCACCCCTCATTTCCTAACTTCCTTGCTGGGACCTTTACCCCGTCAGCCCTTCCTGAGCTGGGGCCTTACTGTTGCTTCCTGGCTCCCTGGAGCCACCTCCCAAAGGGCTGCCTGGTGTGAAAGCGCCATAAGCCAGGCACCCACCCCAGCGCTTCTCAAATCTTACCTGTTCTCCCCTCAGCCACCTGGCCTGGGCGATGGTGGCTAAAGCAGATACAATAACCCTCATTAATATTTGCTAACAGGTAACCCCTCTCCCACAAATACCTTCTGCATAAACAGAACCTACACGTTTCCCCTCATGAGTCCTACTATCTTCATTACCCATTCCTGGGGAAGGAGAGTGTGGATCGAGGGGTCCCCTGTGCCCCACGAGTGACATTAATGTTGGAGTGCTCTCTCTGAGCAGGGAGACTTGGGGAAGTAGTTGTATCTTGGCAGGAACGTTGTAAACTCAAGATGCAGATTTTGTTTCCCTCTGCATTCATCTGAAGCTAAGGCCGGCGAACATTATCCTTGTTTAATTACATCCACTACCCAACTGACACAACTTCCCCGGGGAAGGAGCTTATCCGAGTCTGACTCATGCTTTACAGCAAGTTGGATTTGAGGAAATGGATAATAAACGCCCTGCTGGCTTTGGAATTTTAAACAGAAACCCACATGCGGCTGAGCCTCCGGCTTACTCCCAAATATGGGAGAATGTGTGCCCCGGCCGCGGTGGTAGGAGGCAGGCTCACCCTGACCAAAGGCAAAACCCAAGGCGTGTGCTGAGCGCCAGGCTTGGGGAGCTGAGCCAGCATCCTCTTAAAGGAAAAAGAACAACCCCCGGAAAGGGGGGGACAGGCCGTCACCCCTGAGGACTGTGTCCCTTTTCTGGAGTTACCTCGATGATGTCATGGCAGTGAATGTCAGTGAAAGGAAAAGGGACACAGCACCAGGGACTAAAGGGAAACATCACCAAGGGCCTCCCGTTAGAGGCCTCCGCGTGGTGCTCGCAGACACAGCGTCAGAACAGGAGAGGAAAGGACTCCAGCCTTGTGCTGAGCTGGTCAAATCACCCTGGACCCAGGTCACAGTGAAACCTTCAGTGGTCAGTGTGCCCGAGGATGCTCTGAGAATTTGGGACGTTGCCAGGGTAAAGCTAATTGGGACAACTGCTCTTGTGTCCTAGCTGGGGGTGCTGGGGTCAGTATCCCAAGGCCTAAAGAAATGGCTCCTCAGCTAGATTCCCCCACACCCCGAAATAAAAGGCTCGCTGTCCACTCCTCGGCTGCCACTCCATGGCTGAGTCCCTCCCTCCTCCTGCCCACATCCCCCTGACGATCCACATATCCTCTTTCAAACTCTCTTTCCCCTCATGGCTGGCCTTATTTTTTCTTTTTTAAAAAAAATCTTTTTTCTTTATTTAAAATCTGTGTTCTTTGAAAATAAAACAGTATAGAAATGTAACAGTAACAGCTCCCATTGATGGAGTATTTTCTTCCCATAAGACACTGTGCTGAAACACGTAATGTGACTCCTTTTATTCAAACTTGCTAATATCCCCATGGAGTAGGTTTAACTCCATCCGCAGATAAAGATTAAAGTCACAGATACAGAGATTAAAGTTCATACAGGTGAAGTAACCTGCCCAAACTCACGTAGTTCATTTGGGGCAAAGCTGAGGTTTGAACCTAAGTGTTTGATCTCAAAAACCCCGTGTTAAGTATAATATATGCTGCCTTTAAAAAGCACAAGAAAGAGAGAAATACCATCGTCAATCCACCACTCAAAGATGACCCCTGTTGCTGTTCTTCCAGACTTCTCTTTACACCTGTGCGTGGTTTACCATGATTTTAGTAGAATAAAATCTGGGGTTGGCTGGGCTTCTAGGAAGAGCGAGAATGAGTCATCCAGCATCATTTATTCAGGTTTCTCTTGCCCCAGAAAAGGTCTAGCTCGGGGAATCTGCCCTTGGCTGAGTCCTGAGCCCTCTGCTCCTGCCTGAGTCTCCAAGAGGCTCGGGTGTCTTGCTGGGAGCGTCATACCAAGCACACAGTAGACACTCAATTAACTCTCCCCAGTGGTATCATCGGGGTCAGATTCTGCTGTGATCCTGGGCCTCTGTCCAGTGCAGGTGTTTAAGAACTGTGGGTTCTTCCCCTCTGCAGCTGGTGCTAGTGCAGGTGTTGGCGTCAAAAAAAGAACCAACTGCCTCGATGAGCCTAGAAGTGCAGGCGGGGCATCACTCTGAAGAGCGACATGAATGCGGCTCCTGCTGTCCTGTGCCTGCCAGGTAACCCCTTGCTGAATTTGTCATCCTGGTCTTTCTTGCGGCTGCTGATGAGGAGAGAGCTTTGGGGACAGCGACAGTCACGGGCAAGGCTGAATGTCTGTGTTGTGGGAGCCAGGGAAGCAGAGCAGGAGCTGGACTCAATGGCATTTCTGTAGCTCAGAGGAGCTCCTGCTATCTGGCTTAGCCAGACTGTCAGGGGCTGGAGAATCACCCGCAGCCAATGAAGGGACGGACTCTGGGGACAGTAACATTTCCCCGCTTGGTCATGCGAGAAGCAGGCCAGCAGAGCCAAAGCTTGTCACCTCCAGGCAGACCGTGGCAGAGGCTAACAGGGACTCAGGAAACCTGCCCTTCCTCTCACCTCCCACTAACCAGCGCTTGCCCTGCCATACACACAGTCACATGCATTCTCTTAAAACAAAAAGAGGGGGGGAGATATGATAACTGGTAAATCTTTTATTGAATATATTGGGGAGACATTGGTTAATAAAATTATATAGGTTTCAGGTGTACAATTCTAGTATACGCCATCTGTACATTGGATTGTGTGTTCACCACTCCAAATCAAGTCTCCTTCCATCGCCATTTATTCCCCCCTATACCCTCCACCTGCTCCTCCCACCCACCACCCTTCCCCCAGCAATCACCACATTGTTGTCCCTGTCTGTGAGTTTTTTCCTTTTTTTTTTTTCTTTTTTGCTCAATCCCTCCACCCTCATCCCCTGCACCCAGCCCCCTCTATTCTCTCTCTATATTCCTGTCTATATACAAGATGGGGTCAAGTAGGTTTACAGTTGTTTGTATGGAAAATAATACAATAAATAATTATACAAGAATAAACTCTGTAAACCTACTTCTGCCCCACCCTATAATCCTTGTGTTTTTTTCCTCCAAGCCCTGTAATGTGCATTATTGCATCTGATCCCCTCAATTTGTGATATAATGAGTGATTATAAGTTCCTTAAACCAGGGATTACTAATTTTTTCTTTTAACTTTTTGTAGAAGTATAACATATACAGAAAAGTGCACAGATCATACATATACAGCTCCATACATTTTCAAAAGGCAAACACCCCCGTGTAACCAACACCGAAAAGAAAAAGGCAGAACATCACTAACACCCCAGAAGCCCCCTGATTCCTCCCAGCCCCTAATCTCTCAGGGGTAATCCCTATTCATAGATTAAAAGCATAGATTATAATTTTTCCTATTTTTGAACTCGACATAAATGGAATAATAAGTATGTACTCTTTTGAGTCTACCTTCTTCTATTTGCTATTTTATTGATGATACGCATCCTTATTGTTGTATATAATTATGGATTATTTGCCCCATTGCTGTATAATACTCCATTGTGTGAATGCACCGTGATTTATTTGTTCATTCTATTGTTGGTGGACATTTGAATGGTCTCTGGTTTTTAGCTATTACAAATAGTGCTTCTAAAAAACAATAGTGCGCCCCAACCGGTTTGGCTCAGTGGATAGAGCGTCGGCCTGCAGACTCAAGGGTCCCAGGTTCCATTCCGGTCAAGGGCATGTACCTTGGTTGCGGGCACATCCCCAGTGGGGAGTGTGCAGGAGGCAGCTGATGGATGTTTCTCTCTCACTGATGTTTCTAGCTCTCTATCCCTCTCCCTTCCTCTCTGTAAGAAGTCAACAAAATATATTTTTTAAAAAATAGTGCTTCTATGAACATTCTTGCAAATGTCTTTTGGTGAACATATGTTTTTCTAGAAATATAATCACTTATCACAGGGTATACATATGTTCAACCTTGGTAGATATTGCCAAACAGTTTTCCAAAGTGGTTGTACCAATTACACTCCCACTAGCAAAGATGCGAGTTCCAGTTGCTCCATGTCCACACCAACATTTAGTGCTGTCTGCCTTTTTCATCTTAGTCATTCTGGTGGGTGTGTAGGAATGTTCTATTGTGCTTTTCATTTGCATTTTTCTGATGATTAATGAATTGAGTATCTTTTCATATATTTATTAGCTATTTGGATCTTCTAGGAACATTTTAAAGTTCTTTTCATGGTTATTAATGTAATTTATGCTAATTGAAAAATGTTTGGCAAATACAGAAAGGAATCATGGTAGATTTATACTATGTCAATTTAGCTAAACTGGAACTATGTCTTTCCTTGTCTGGTTCTGGGTTAGAGTTGGCGACAAGAAACTTTGCACAAGACTTGGGGGGCAGAAGCAAAACAGTCATGTTCATGCTCAGAAAGGCAGTTCAGAGTCAGGTACAGTTGCAACTCACACACATTGTCTCAGATCTGCTGGCTCATGTTGTTGGCATTAGACATCAATTGGGCATAGTTCCTTCAGTTCCCACCTTCAGGTCTCATCCTTCAGCTTTTAACTCCTGGACCAAATGTGTGTTTACCTACGTGACAAAGAGCCCAGCTCCTTCTGTGGGTAACCCACATCTTTGAAGTTGGAGATTTTGGAGAGAGTGGGAGACTGATGGAGGCCCCAGGGCACCCTCGAGGACACCAAGTCATTCTTGCATAAGCAATGGTCACACAAGCTATTTAACCAGCTCCCACAGTTGTGTAACGTCAAATCCCTGTAATAGCTCTGGCTGGTTTTCTCGGTGCTTAGAGAGTGTCGGACTGCGCACAGAAGAGTTGCAAGTTCAACTCCAGTGAGGGCACGTACTCGGGGTGCGGGTTTGATCCCCGCCCCCAGTGGGCGGGGGTGGGGGCGGGAGGCAACCGGTCAATGTCTCTCTCTCTCACATCAGTGTTTCTCTCTCTCTCCCCTTCCTTCTCTCACTTCCACTTTCTCTGAAAAGCAATGGAAAAAAAATATCCTCAGGTGAGGATTAACAAAAAACAAAATCTCTGTAATAAACCTCTTACTCTTGTCATTCCTAGCAGTTCTGCTTCTCTGATTAACCCTGACTGATCCAGGCACTAAGAAGAAAACCAAATTCACCTGTAATCCATACCCAGAGAGGACCACTGTCAACATCTCAAAGTGCATTCCTTCTGCCTGGAATGGTTCAGCTGAACGGAATGAGGCCTGGAGAGGTTCAAGACTGCTCAGGACTCGACTAGGTGGAGGCAGAGATGGGCCCTCAGAGGCTGGTTTCGCCCCTGCACATCTGGTATTGCGTTGACTGCGTCTCAGAGCCCCTGGGTGACCCTGGGCACAAGCTCTGAGCCTGTGAGAGCGGGTTTTGAACACATTTCCTGGGCTTTGCGGCCACCTGCGTTGACATCTTCCCCATTTTGTTCTGACCAAATTGCAGGAGTTCCACCTTTCTGTTCCTCTGCAGAAAAAAACAAACCACAGTCTTTTAAAACTAGTCATGCTGTGTCATCTTCCTCCGCAGAACTGACCGGGAAGTGATGGCCACCAGGGGGCCAGAGAGAGCCGGGAGGCCTCCTCCCTGCCAAACAGCTCCTCAGACGTCAGTTAGAGATGTAGTCCTTCGATTTAGCATTATTAGCTCAAGAATTCTCTTTTAAAATACAGGTATTCCAAGAGAGGTTAACACATGCGATCCTCAGTCTTTCAGAAGGAATGATTCCCCAGCTGCAGTGGTAAGTGATATGGTATCACAAGAGAGCAGGCTGGCCCGAGAGGGGCCAGGGAGAGAAGCCGCCAAATGCAAATTTGCAGTTTGGCTGAGACCTCCTGGGCCCTGACTTTTACGAGCCCAGGAGTCAAAGGGCGTTTCTGTTCAAACCTCAGACCTGGGCCTAGGACTCTGCCCCTCGCTTGGAGGGCGGATCCATCAGGAGGACAGATTTGCTTCCCTGATAAGAATAGGACCAAAAAAGAAGCAACTGGAGATGGCGTGGAAAAGAGATGAGTGATGATGAGAAAAAACTGGTGACACACTGTCTCCAGCATGTCAGTTCTGCCTGGCTGGTTTCTTGAAGAGGAACAAAAAGTGGGTGTTGTCGTTAAGGTTTCTTGCTTTGTTTTCTTCTCTCGTCCAATGGCTCTAGATACTGGTGGCCTCTTTCCTGGTAAGCTCCTGTCACTGCCCCCCCCCCCCTTCCGCCGCCCCCAGTAGAGGGGACATTTACCCCACACGTTGGCTGCTGAGCTGGGAACCTCAGACTGGCAGGGAGGCCACGGCCCAAAGCACAGGAGTGCCCAGGGGTAACATTATCCTGCCAGAGCTAAACAAGGAACCGAGTGTTTAGAATAACTTCAAGAAAGTCGTGGGCGTTTCCTCTGTCAGGGAAACAAGAGACCACAGTGAGATAATGGATGGCTATATTCAGGTCACAGATTATCAGCTGCCACTGCTGCTTCCTGTTCAGAATTCTATGAGGCTCCTTTCTAGTCACTCGAGTCTTGTGGATTCTGTGAATGTGACCAGCATTTCGTGATGCGGGGCCGGGAGGCGCGGCCTGCAGATCTGACATCAATCAGAGGTGGAGCTGCTCCTTCAGGGTGAGGCAGGCGGGAAGGGCCTGCTCCTGGTGGAGCAGGTGGTGGGTGAGGCGCCCACGGTGAGAATAACTTTTACTAAACTCTTAGCATTTTTCAGGTTCTTGGACTAAGGTTTTTGTGCACTCTCTCATTTGACACTTAAAGTCACCTTACGCCAAAGAGACTGGAACCCTTGTGTGCTGTTGATAGGAATGCGAAATGGTGCAGCCACTCTCAAAAACTGTGGCGGTTTTTCAAAACATTGAACATAGAATTACCGAACGATCCAGCAACTGAAATCAGGATGTCGAAGAGACAGTAGCACTCCTATGTTCAATTGCAGCACAATTGTCACAATAGTCAAGACGTGGAGACAACCTAGATGTAGATGGAAGGATGAATGGATAAAGAAGATGTGGTATATAGAATATACTATATACATACAATGAAATATTATTCAGCCTTTAAAAAGAAGAAAATCCTAAAAATATGCAGCAACACAGTTGAGCCTTGAGGACATTATGCTAAGTGAAGTAAGCCAATCACAGAAAGACAAATCCTATATGACTCTACTCATATGAGGTATCTAAAAGAAACTCATAGCCCTAGTCAGTTTGGCTCAGTGGATAGAGCGTCGGCCCTCGGACTGAAGGGTCCCGGGTTCGATTCCAGTCAAGGGCATGTACCTCAGTTGCAAGCTCGATCCCCGGCCCCAGTAGGGGCACAATCGATGTGTCTCTCTGACATCGATGTTTCTTTCTGTCTCTGCCCTCCATAGACTCTGTCTAAAATCAACGGAAAAAATATCCTTGGGTGAGGATTAACAAAAAACAAAATAAACTCGTAGAAGCAGAGAGCAGAACAGTGGTTGCCAGGGACAGGGTGGAGGGGGAAACGGGGAGTTGCTAATCAACAGGTTTAGAGTTTTAATAAGGCAAAAGGAATAAGTTCTAGAGATCTGCTTTGTGCCTATAGTTAGCAATATTGTATTGTACACTTAAAATCTGTTAAGGGCATAGTGTCATGTTAAGTGTTCTTACCACAATAAAATAAAATTTTAATTTAAAAACTACCCATTACCCATGGCTCAGTGGTTGAGTGTCAACCTATGAACAGAAAATCACGGTTTGATTCCCAGTCAGGGCACATGCCCGGGTTGTGGGCTCGATCCCTGGTGTAAGACATGTAGGAGGCAGCTGATCAATGATTTTCTCTCATCACTGAGGTTTCTATTTCTCTCTCCCTCTCCCTTCCTCTCTGAAGTCAATAAAAATATATTAAAAAAAAAAAAAAAACCACCCATGACAGGGGTACTATTATTTCTGTTCTCTAGATAAGGCAAGGGGAACAGGAATGTTAAGTGATTTGCCCAATGGTAGAATTGGGTTCTTTATTGAGCTATCACTTATATACACTTTATATGTATACACCCACGTGGCCACCTCTCAGATCAAGATTATAACTTTTTCATCACTCTCAAAACTTCCCTCATGCCCCTTTCCAGCAAATATTCACTGCCCTTCACTCCCAAGGTAACCAACATTCTGACTTCTGTTCTCATAGATCCTTTTTACGTATTTTTAAACTTCCTATGAATGGGGTCATTCTCTTATATCTGGCTTCTTTTGCTCAATACAATGTATCTAGAATTTATCCACATGGTTGTATCAGTTTTTTCTTTCTATTGCAGAATAGTATTCCATTTTATGAAGATACCACCCAACTTATTATTTTTTAAAAAATATTTTTTATTGATTGTTTACAGAGAGGGAGGGAGAGGGATAGAGAATTAGAAACATCGATGAGAGAGAAACATCGATCAGCTGCCTCCTGCACACCCCCCACTGGGGATGTGCCCACAACCAAGGTACATGCCCTTGACCGGAATCGAACCTGGGACCTTTCAGTCCACAGGCCGATGCTCTATCCACTGAGGCAAACCGGTTAGGGCACCACCCAACTTATTTACCCATTCTCTTGTTGATAAATATTTAGGTTGTTTCCAATTTTAGGCCATTTTGAATAGTACTGCCCTGGACATTCTTCTTAGGTAGAAATATGTTTAACTTTAAAAGTACTGCCAAACATTCTAGTTGCTCCACATCCTTGTCAACACATGGAATTGTCAGTATTTTCATCTTAGCCATTAGAGTGAGTTTGAGAGTCATCTTTCTGATTCCAAAGCCTCTATGCAGCATCATAAAGCTCTGGAAGATGTAGGGTCCTCCTACTTCCATGGATCTCTGTCTGGGTGGCCCACGTACCACATACATGCTGGCAGCAAGAATGGAAAGTGGCTCCCCAGGACAGGTGGGTGCCAGAAATCTGCCTCTTCCATCATTTCTGAGGGGTGCCCACCAACGTCAAGATTGAGTGTGTGCATGCCCTTTTCCAGGAAAAGCTCTCTTGGAGGAAGCTCCCCTGTGGTTTTGGTCCGCGGGTGTGCCAAGAGTGCGGCCAGTGTGGTCAGAGCCTACTGTGAGGATGGCCCTGTTCTTTGCTAGCAACTTGGAGGGGTTCAAGCCAGCACATCAGAAGGCTCTTAAGGATGGGGCCTGGTCCAGAAGCATAAACACCCTAGAACTATCTTCCAACTTGGCCTCATCCCCTCTGCGGCCTTGGGCAAGTCATTGAACCTTTCTGCGACTCGGTTTCTTCAACTATTAGTTGGGGCAACAATGCCTGCCCTATATCTCATACAAGGCTCTTCAAAGGCTTCTTGCTAGTTCTAGGATGTCTGTTTCTCCAGCCCATCTCCCCCCATGTCCCCTCTGCTTCTGCCACGCCGTCTTTTATTCCTCCATATTTTTATTAAAGGTGTTTTTATACGAGGTATTCTCTTTCTCCAGAACGCCCTCCTCACTTCTTCCAAATGGCAAACTCCTCTCATTCTTCAAGGCTCAGGGTATAAGCAATATCTCCTCCGCCAGGCGGATGCCTCATAACTTCATGCCTGGATTGCCCTGGGGCATACGGCCTCTTACATCACATTGTGTCTTGTGAGTCTTCCCACCAGGCTGTGAGTTCCTTAAGGAAAGCTCCTATGTCGTGTCAGGCTGATAGCTGTTGCCCGATAAACATTTGTTAAACGAATGAATAAATCTGAAATTAAAAGGACATATGGGAAAATATTAATTGAGGAGCATAGGTTAACGCCGGAGGTTGCTGCCTCGAACAACCACTTCAAAAAACAACTAAAAGACCGAACGGACATCATCCAGAACCACAGGAAGGCTGGCTGAGTGGAAATTCTACAACTAGGAGGAAAGAGAATATCATACCCAGGCTCAGAGGAGGCGCAGTGCTGAAGTGAAATACTCAGGTGCGGAGTGCACGCGGAGCGGGCTGGAGGCGGAGGGCGCGGTTGTTGTTTTCAATTGGGAGGGAGTTTCAGACTCTGAGCTCCAGATCCGGGCGAGTCTCTGGGGACCGAGACTCAAACGGGAGAAGCGGGACTGTCTGGCTTCGGTCGGAACTCAAAGGCAGCTTTCTTTCCGAGGTTTGCAGGGGTTGCTGGGACTCTGTGAGGCAGAGCCCCTAGGGACGGAACTGAGAGCAGCCATAACTGCTCATTCCGCCCACCCTGTAGATCCCCAGGGACCCGCCCCGCCCAAGCCCTGCTCAGAGCCATTTGCCGGATAGCCTCAGGCAAACGCTAGATTAGCACCGCCCTAGAGATCCAACACAGAAGCTCTCCCACTGCAGACACAGCGAACTCTCATAGCCAGTTAGCCTGGAGGTCAAATCACCCCCGGTATTGCCGACAACAATCAAGGCTTAACTACAACAAGACTGCGCACAAAGACCACTAGGGGGTGCACCAAGAAAGCATAAAAAATGCGGAGACAAAGAAACAGGACAAAACTGTCAATGGAGGATATCGAGTTCAGAACCACACTTTTAAGGTCTCTTAAGAATTGTCTAGAAGCCGCCGATAAATGTAGTGAGATCCTCAAGAAATCTAATGAGACCCTCGATGTTATGATAAAGAACCAACTAGAAATTAAGCATACACGGACTGAAATAACGAATACTATACAGACTCCCAACAGCAGACCAGAGGAGCGCAAGAATCAAGTCAAAGATTTGAAATGCGAAGAAGCAAAAAATACCCAACCGGAAAAGCAAAATGAAAAAAGAATCCGAAAATACGAAGATAGTGTAAGGAGCCTCTGGGACAGCTTCAAGCGTACCAACATCAGAATTATAGGGGTGCCAGAAGATGAGAGAGAGCAAGATATTGAAAACCTATTTGAAGAAATAATGACAGAAAACTTCCCCCAACTGGTGAAAGAAATAGACTTACAGGTCCAGGAAGCCCAGAGAACCCCAAACAAAAGGAATCCAAAGAGGACCACACCAAGACACATCATAATTAAAATGCCAAGAGCAAAAGACAAAGAGAGAATCTTAAAAGCAGCAAGAGAAAGAAACTCAGTTACCTACAAGGGAATACCCATACGACTGTCAGCTGATTTCTCAACAGAAACTTTGCAGGCCAGAAGGGAATGGCAAGAAATATTCAAAGTGATGAATACCAAGAACCTACAGCCAAGATTACTTTATCCAGCAAAGCTATCATTCAGAACTGAAGGTCAGATAAAGAGCTTCACAGATAAGGAAAAGCTAAAGGAGTTCATCACCACCAAACCAGTATTATATGAAATGCTGAAAGGTATCCTTTAAGAAGAGGAAGAAGAAGAAAAAGGTAAAGATACAAATTATGAACAACAAACATGCATCTATCAACAAGTGAATCTAAGAATCAAGTGAATAAATAATCTGGTGATCATAATAGAATCAGGGACATAGAAAGGGAATGGACTGACTCTTCTTGGGGGGGAAAGGGGTGTGGGAGATGCGGGAAGAGACTGGACAAAAATTGTGCACTTATGGATGAGGACAGTGGGTGGGGAGTGAGGGCGGAGGGTGGGGCGGGAACTGGGAGGAGGGGAGTTATGGGGGAAAAAAGAGGAACAAATGTAATAATCTGAACAATAAAGATTTAATTAAAAATAAAAAAATAAAATAAAAGGACATATGAAAATAGTAAAAAATAAAATTAAGCCTTCATTATTGTCTGAGAGTAAAAGAAACATATGCATATTGTAAAATAGTCAAGCAACAGAAGTAGAGGTTTCCCCTAATCCACCGCACACCCAGGGTTAACCCATCAGCCACTTTCCTTCAGACCTTTTTCCTCCAAAAAAAAATGGGACCAGCCTGTTCTGAGCTTGTTTTTTCTTTATTATACCAGGAACTCTTAGCGCAGCGGTTCTCAACCTGTGGGTCGCGACCCCTTTGGCGGTCGAACGACCCTTTCACAGGGGTCGCCTAAGACCATCCTGCATATCAGATACTTACATTACGATTCATAACAGTAGCAACATTACAGTTATGAAGTAGCAACGAAAATAATTTTATGGTTGGGTCACAACATGAGGAGCTGTATTTAACGGGTCAGAAGGTTGAGAACCACTGTCTTAGGGGGAATGTTTTTATTATGGTTGTTCGATTATAAGTTGAAAGAACAGGTCTCAGACTTGAGAAATAGGTCAGAGGAAGGAACTTATGAACTGAATTTCCTTCTCCATTCACCCCTCTGAGAACTCTGAGAAGTTCCTTGTTCCTTCACTCTTCACTCATTTTCATTACAAAAGTAGCACATTGAGCCCTG